TTGGACATAATTCCCGCACTGCCGTCGCCGAGATTTAAACCTTGGTCTCTTCTCCCAAATACTACCCACTAAACCATTGAGCTAAGCCCGTGCGGGTTAAATAGGTAATTCTAAGTTTACAAATGCAAGATAATATAGTCAAGATTGATTATAATTGTCAATAAAATAATTGTATAGGTATGGTTGAAACCAAATATGGGACATAAGGGAGAACAAATAAAAATTAGGGCATAAAATATTAAATATATACTAATATTGTTTGAGGAGATTCCGACATTAGGATTTGTGGTTAAGTTCTATTAAGACTTTAATATTAGAATTAGATTAATGGTGTAGTTATAATTCTATATTAGACTTTAATATTAGAATTAGACTAACGGTGAATTAACGGAAAAGTTAAATGGATAATCATATAATTAAGGATAAATTAGAAAATCTTAAAAGAAAAAAATTAAAACCTGAACAATATGAACCATTCATTGATTTAATAATTTGGCGGTCATTTTTTCTACCCAATGTTAATAATTAAATAAATTCGCTGGTCAAATCCGTTAGTATAATCCGCTAACGCCAACCGCTAACTGCTGATTGTCAAACAAGGACATTGCGAGCTAGTTCTCACTTTAATTTGTTGTGTGATTTGAATACTCCCTTTGTCACAAAATCTCTCAAGTAATTAATATGGTTGACTTTATTAATTATATTTTTTTAATTTTTTCATAGTATTAATAAAATACTTGGTAAATAAATATATAGCATTATTTTGTATTATAACTTTGATATTTAATTAGAAAAATAGTGCACAAAAAAGATAATAGATAATGTAGTGAATATAATCAATTGATGAAATTGAATGTAAAAATTTTTACATTTGAGAAAAATAAAGACAATATAACTAATAAAAATATTTCTTTTAATTAATTTATTGATAATTAATAATTTTTTTTTCACTGAATAAAGACATTGTAAGGATAATGTAGCGAATATAATCAATTAATAAATTTGAATATAAAGAATTTTTATATTGAAGAAAAATAAAGACAATATAACTAATAAAATTATTTCTCTTATTTAATTTATTGATAATGAATAACTTTTTGTTTTGAATAAAGGCATTGTGGACACATAATTCTAAATTAAAGAAATGCATATGTATTATTTTTTGTTGTAACTACTAAATTATTATTTATATATATATATAATTTAATAAGAGTAAAATAGAGTACTAATTATGCCAACTTTGATTAGGATGAGGTTCGAACCTAAGACCTTTTTTTAATTGAAATCAATGAGTAAGTTAACGGTGAACTAACGGCAATTCTTAAAATTTTAACGGAATTAGTAACGGTGTGTGGGTATTTTAGGAAATTTTATTGTAAAATTTAAATCTGATCAATCTTTTAATCAATCTGAGCCATTCATTTGATTAAAATCTGTGACCGCCATTTTTTCTACCCATTATAGGCCTAACTCTCTTGGGCTCTTATTAGTATATATATATATATAGTAGATTATATTGATCCCAAATTCCCAGATGTCAATGTTGATTCCATTGTGACATGTATGTAAATTGATTTGCGCAAGAAACAAGAAATATACATGTATGTTGCAGTACGAGTATACTTCCATTTAATTCAATTCAAAACAACATGCAAATCAATTTATATACAGCAATCCGATTACGTTGGACAATAAATGATAAATCCGTAATCAATCCCACAATTAAATTAAACCTTACAATTAAAAATCCCCAAATATCATGAACCCTAATTTTAGTGATTAATCAATTTACAAGCAGGCTCTGATACCAAATGTTAAATTATCCTTTATGCGCTATAACTTAAATGCGGAAGCACAATTAACAATAATGATCGCATGTAAATCAAATCAATCAACTAAACAATGTTCATGATCATGGACTTTTAATTAAATATGAAAGATAGGACTTACTTGGTTCCATTTAAGATGTAATCTCTCAATTGAATGAATCAAGAATATAATGCTTCACCTCTCTGATCCGTATACCTTATTCACCTCCTGATGATACGGAGACTAGAAAACTTACAGATTTGAAACTGTTGAGATCCCTAGAGTTTTCCTGGGTATTTATAGATGTGATGAGAAACCCTCTTTCAAGAGGAATGGGAACCTCCTTTAGGAATAGAAATCCCTTTAGGAATGTGACCTCCTTTAGGAATAGAAATCTCTTTAGGATTGTAAAACCCATAACCTTATCCATTATACATCTTTTAACCCTTATAAACTTAAATTTTAACAGAATGAGAGGGAGGGAATTTCACCCAGTAATTCCGCCTTTACACATCACTAATCATCAACGTGAGTACCTTATGGAATTACAACCTTTATTATATAAATCATTGTTAGGAAATAATTATTTCAAACAATAGAGTCAGTAGCATTCAAAAAGGAAAGAAAATTAAAATTGTCAAATAAAAATACCCTCCCAAGTCCCAATTATACTATTATACTTATAATTTATTATATCTACTATACTAATAAGAGCCCAAGAGAGATAGGCCTATATATCTACTATACTAATAAGATCCCAAGATAGTTAGACCTATAATGGGTAGAAAAAATGGCGGTCAAATTTTTTAATCAAATGAATGGCTCAGATTGATCAGATTTTAATTTTTCCTTAAAATTTCTTAATTTATCCCTAATGAATATGATTTTCCATTAACTTTTCCGTTAATTTATGTCTGTTCACCATTAACTTACTCATTGATTGCAATTAGAAAGGTCTTAGGTTCAAATCTCATCCAATCAAAGTTGACATAATTAGTATTCTATTTTACTCTTATTAAATTATTAAAATAATAATTAATTAATAAAGTCAATCATATTAACTACTTGAGGGATAGTGAGACCTCGTTGTTTCTTCTTGTCTGTTTTGGGTAACCCCCTCCTTTTGATCCAAAAAATATTAACTACTTGAGTGGTTAGTTGACAAAGAGAGTATTTAAATCACACAACAAATTGAAGTAAGAACTACCTCGCAATGTCCTTGTTTAACAATCAGGAGTTAGCGGTTAGCGCTCAGATTATATTAGCGGATTTGACCAGCGAATTATATCAACGGTTGGTAAAAAGATATTTGAAAAAATTAACTGTTTAGATTAACATGTAAAATGACCTAAGGGGAAAATAATAATAATAATAATAATAATAATAATAATAATAATAATAATAATAATAATAATAATAATAGTTTTAAAATATATATATAATTAAGTCAATCATATTAATTACTTGTCGAATTTATTGGCAAAAGAGTATTCAAATCACACAACAAATTGAAGTGAGAAACTACCTCGCAAAGTCCTTGTTGGCAATCAACTGTTAACTCTTCAATATTAGTATATATTTAATATTTTATGCCCTAATTTTTATTTGCTCCCTCTTATGTCTCGTCTTTGGTTTCAGCCATATCTATACAATTATTTTATTGACAATTATAATCAATCTTGACTATATTATCTTACATTTGTAAACTTAGAATTACATATTTAAATACGCAAATTCAACATTCAATTATCTATGCATGAACAATTCTCATATAATTTTGCATCGATATATTTTAAAGTATTTATTTTAAAAAAAATATTGAACATTTTTTCAATTGCGCAATACGCGTAAAAAACTAATTTTATTATAATAGTTAAACTATTATTATATGACCATTTTGATCTTTATACGGGTACTTTTTCAATTCCTATACAAATCAAATACTAAAATTAAATTTTTTAATTATTCTATTATTATCGATCAAACAATAAAATTTAAATTTCTAATAATTTTTGTTTTAGTCCCCTCGACAAAACTAAATATCTCATCAATTTTTATTTTTATTCTTTGAAGAGAAATATCTCATTAATTTTAAAACTTGAAAATGAAATATAGTAGCTGATGAATAAAAAATATTGGATTTCCAGGAAATAAGGGGAGGAAATTGGAGAGGAAATCTCCCTTATACTTACCCCAAAATGCTGAATCTCCCCTATACTTAAATTTAGGAGTTGTCATTTACCCCTCAAAAATGACACCTTTACTGACCATTGATTTCAAATTTAACGGATGAAATTTTTTGATCTAATTTTTGATTTATTTTTTTCATTTTAATTGCCCTCAATTTTTTAAAAATAACAACTTTACCATTACTTTTTTTGTCTTCTTCCTTTTTGCCTTTGATGTAATCTTAGTCTTCTTTTTTCTGTATCATTCCAACACTCCATTCTTTTTTTAAAAAAAAAAAAAACATTTTTTTAAGAAAATCATTGCATTATTCTAACTAACATCTCCATTCTCTCCCTCAAAACCAAATCTAATGTCCTCCCGCATGTTCATAATTCAATTCTTATATATCATGTTGGTATCTAAATAACTTATTTATGTATTCTTATTTATTTTGTCACATAAAAATTATTAAAAATTATATATATTATTATTTAAAAATTAAAACATACTTGTTTTAAAAATAAAAAATAAAAAATTAGAACATAATAATTAATTGTTGAGCATGACGTTTCGGACAATGTGTCGCAAAGCGCGTGCCCTCGACTAGTAACTAAATAAGGGTCTGTTTGGAAAATATGAAAATGACTTCTGAAAAATGTTTTCTGGAAAATGAATCATTTTTCAGAAAACATTTTCATTTCCAGTGTTGGTTGCATTTTGAAAAACTTGGTGTTTTTAATTTATTTTCTAGAAAAATAAGTAGAATTATATGTTTAAACTTTTTGACGGAAAATGACTTCCCCCAATTTTGGCGGAAGTCATTTTTCTCAAAAATGACTTTATTTTCTCTAGCCAACAGAAAATATTTTTCGTTGACTGGATTTTCCTGTTGCATTCAAACACGGAAAACTCAAAAAACATTTTCCAAACGTCATTTTCCGGGTTTCCAAACAAACGGTAAGTGTAATTTTGTCGGGATAAAACGACACCGTTTCAATGTATATTAATATGAGTAATAGAAATCTTTCTCCTCCCAGCCCCATGAGGTTCTCACTCCCGTAAAACGCCTCTTGGCTAAGCCCTAATTCATTGAGCGAAGAATTCAGATTCACCTAAGCTCTCGACGAATCTCTTATTGGAAAGCTTCTGGAGAAGGCCAGGAAGGTTTCAAGTAGCACAAATTTCTCCTCGCCGAGCCGCTTCGTTGTCTCCGTTCACGGTATCACTTATTTTTTTCTCTTGCTTTGCGTGATAAATCTTTTACTGCTTTGATTTTTATTTTTTATTTTTAATGCAAAAACTCTCTGGTGAAGTTTGAATTCTTAGGTTGCTTGTAAATGGTTGAGGCTCTTGTGTAAAAGCTTGCTCTGCAGATCGGTAAGACAGGTACAAATACGTTCGCCTGTCGGGGAAAAAAGCTATTTAACGATCTCTCCCGTTTGTTTTTGCTCACTGTAGTATACTTTTTTTTTTCTAGATTCTGATTGAGATACACTTTCATACATGCATACAGAATGAATTCAAGTTAATTGTACTTGCTTTTTTTCTGACAGGTTTTGCAGTTGTTTCGTAGTGAAACTTGGGTTACTTGGTTTTGTCAGTTGGTTTCTCTTGTTGATTTAGTATGGAAGAACCAAAGCAGAAGTCTTCTAAGAGGGAGGACTCTGAAAAGGAAGTAGAAGAGCCAAGGAGGAGGAGCCACCGTGACAGAGATGAGCACCGAGACCGTGATAAGGAGAAGAATGGAGAGAGGCACAGGGAAAGAGACAGGGAACACTACCGTGACAAGAAAGACCGCCATGATAGGGAGAAGAGTACTGATGATAAGTATAGGGAGAGAAATAGAGATAGGGAAAAGGAAAAACACAAGGATAGGCATAAAGAGAAAGAGAGGGAAAAGAGCAGCAGAGATAAGGTCTCTAAAGACAGAGAAAAGGATAGGTCTGACAGAGAGAGTGCTAGGGAGAAGGAAGACAGAGAGAGGGAGAGAGAGAAAGAGAAGGAGAAGGAGAAGGATCGCGAAAGAGAGAAAGAGAAGGAGAGGGATCGAGACCGAGAGAAAGAGAAGGAGAGGGAACGTGAAAGAGAAAAGGAGAGAGAGAAAGAAAAGGAGAGGGATAAGGAAAGGGAGAGAAGAGAGAGAGATAGGAGGGAAAAAGATAAGGAGGAGAAGGAAAGGAGTAGGGAGAAGAGGGGTCGTGAGAAAGAGCGCAGGCGTGATTATAGCAGTGATGATGATGATGATGATGTTGATGTAAGAGATCGTGAAAGAAAGAGGCGAAAGAGAGAGAATGATCACAAGAGCAGGGATCATGAGCGAAGCAAGAAACCTATTAAGCTCAGAGATGACAGTGAAGATGGTAGCCCACTGAGAAGAAGTGATGAAGAATCATCAGAAAAGAAACAGAAGAATCTAGAAGAAGAACAAGCTGAGGAACAAAGGAAACTGGAAGAAGAGATGGAGAAGCGAAGAAGGAGAGTTCAGGAATGGCAGGAGTTGAGAAGAAAGAAGGAGGAGTCAGAGAGAGAAAAGCTTGGAGTTGCAGCAATTACTGATGAACCCAAGTCAGGCAAGACTTGGACTTTGGAAGGGGAATCTGATGATGAAGATGCTGCTCTTGAGGAAAAACAAGGCATGGATATGGATATGGATATGGATGTGGATGTGGATGGACTTGCTAAGCCTTTGGATGTGGATGGAGTTGGCTCTGTAAGTTCCAATGATGTACCTGATTTAAAAATTTCACAGAATGGTGGTAATGATGCTTCTATGGATGATGATGAAATTGATCCACTGGATGCATTCATGAATTCTATGGTGTTGCCTGAAGTTGAGAAGCTTAAGAATGCTGAGGCTCCTTCTGAAGATATTAAGTCTGGTTTGAAAGATAATACTGTTATTTACAATGAAGAGAAGCCTAAAAAAAGAGTTAAAAAAGCTATGGGAAGAATCATACCTGGTGAAGATTCTGATTCAGATTATGGTGAAGTTGAAAATGATGAAGATCCTTTGGAGGATGAAGACGATGAAGAATTTATGAAACGGGTGAAGAAGACCAAGGCTGAGAAACTATCCATAGTTGACCACTCAAAAATTGATTATCCTTCTTTCCGAAAGAATTTTTATATTGAAGTTAGGGAAATTTCAAGAATGACTCCTGAAGAGGTTGCTGCTTACAGAAAGCAATTGGAGTTGAAGATACACGGAAAGGATGTTCCAAAGCCAGTTAAAACATGGCATCAGACTGGATTGTCCACTAAGATTTTGGACACAATAAAGAAACTGAATTATGAAAAGCCGATGTCAATCCAGGCTCAGGCTTTGCCAATAATTATGAGTGGTCGAGATTGTATTGGTATTGCAAAGACGGGTTCTGGAAAAACTCTAGCTTTTGTGTTGCCAATGTTGAGACATATTAAGGATCAGCCTCCACTTGTTCCTGGAGATGGTCCTATTGGGCTTGTAATGGCCCCTACAAGAGAGCTTGTGCAGCAAATACATAGTGATATAAGAAAGTTTTCAAAGGTTATGGGCCTTAGTTGTGTGCCGGTGTATGGAGGTTCAGGTGTTGCTCAACAAATTAGCGAGTTGAAACGAGGAGCAGAGATTGTTGTTTGCACTCCGGGTAGGATGATTGACATACTTTGTACTAGTGGAGGAAAAATTACAAATCTGCGAAGAGTCACTTATTTGGTTATGGATGAAGCTGATCGGATGTTTGATATGGGCTTTGAACCTCAGATCACTAGAATTGTTCAAAATACACGTCCGGACCGCCAAACTGTACTGTTTTCCGCCACTTTTCCTCGCCAGGTTGAGACATTGGCACGCAAAGTGTTGAACAAACCTGTTGAAGTTCAGGTAGGTGGAAGGAGTGTTGTGAACAAAGATATTGCCCAATTAGTTGAGGTGAGGCCAGAGAGTGAAAGGTTCCTTAGATTATTGGAAATACTTGGAGAATGGTATGAAAAGGGGAAAATTTTGATATTTGTCCATACACAGGAGAAATGTGATGCTTTATTTAAGGAATTGCTAAAGCATGGTTATCCTTGCCTCTCACTTCACGGGGCAAAAGATCAGACTGATCGTGAGTCCACCATTATGGATTTTAAAAGTAATGTATGTAACTTGTTGATTGCAACCAGTATTGCTGCTAGAGGTTTAGATGTAAAGGAACTTGAGCTGGTGATCAACTTTGATGTTCCAAACCATTATGAGGACTATGTTCATCGTGTTGGACGAACTGGGCGAGCTGGTAGAAAAGGCTGTGCTATCACTTTTATATCTGAGGAGGATGCAAGATATGCACCTGATCTTGTAAAAGCTTTGGAACTGTCTGAACAAGTTGTTCCTGATGACCTGAAAGCAATTGCTGATAGTTTCATGGCAAAAGTTAATCAGGGACTTGAACAAGCTCATGGAACTGGTTATGGAGGTAGTGGCTTTAAGTTTAACGAAGAGGAAGATGAAGTGAGGAGAGCTGCAAAGAAAGCCCAAGCAAAAGAATATGGTTTTGAGGAAGACAAATCAGATTCAGAGGATGAAGATGAAGGAATAAGAAAAGCAGGTGCTGACGTCTCTCAGCAGGTGGCTGCCCTTGCTCAGGCAGCTGCTCTTGCTGCTGCTACCAAAGCAAATGTCGCTCAACTTCCAGGTTCAGGCCAATTTCCTCAGCTACCACCTCATGGTGGAGTACCTGGTCCTCTTGCCAATATTCTTCCAGGAAATGGAATGCTAATGGCCCCTAATGATATGTCAGCTACTGCAGCAGCATTTCTTGCTGCCAAGAATTTGCAGCAGAACTTGGCTAGGCTTCAGAATGAGGTCATGCCTGAGCATTATGAAGCAGAATTGGAAATAAATGATTTTCCCCAAAATGCTCGTTGGAAGGTGACACACAAAGAGACACTAGGTCCTATTTCAGAATGGACTGGAGCTGCCATCACTACTAGGGGCTATTATATCCCACCTGGAAAGGTACCTGGACCAGGGGAAAGAAAATTATACTTGTTCATTGAGGGTCCTACAGAACAATCTGTCAAGAGGGCAAAAGCTGAGCTAAAACGCGTTTTGGAGGACATAGCAATGCAAGCAACCTCACTTCCGGGTTCAGCCCAGCCAGGACGATACTCGGTTGTTTAAGGTACTTTCCATAAATGACCAATATTTAGTAGGGAGGTTCTAAAGCATCATATGCTTATGCATTGCAATTTATTGAATTTATATCCTTCTCTTTTGATCTGTTAAAATTTGGTACTTTTTAAAATTTGTTGATTTGGTCATTTGTTTATTTCCAAAAATTAAACTATTATTCCTATTTTGATGTATTAGATTTCCCTTTGGTGGACTTCTATTGGTTGCTGCTCCTTATTTACACATTTAGTTAGTTTACATTAAAGGGAGAGAAGAAAACACAATGTATGTGCTATTGTGCTATGACCTGGATGCTGTGGATTTTCAAGGTAGGAATTTTATATAGATCACATAATTTAGAATTTATTCATGCTTCGGGTAATGATCTCTTTAGGATTAACTTGTCATCCAACTTTGCATGATGACTTTTTCTGTGTTTTGTTGAGTTGATTATCTCCCCTTATTCCCTTAAATTACTCAGAGGCAAATTGTGGTTTCTTTTGTTTATCACATCTTGTTGGATTGTGTTATGTACTCGGATGAACGCACATGTCACAATGTGATTAGGATTAGTTGCCAATGTTGAGAGATGAATTAAAGGAATGAGGGCGAAAAGGCAAAACATGACTTTAATTGGGAGAACAAGATATTTGAAATATTTTGAGAGTTTTTCCACCTCTAATTTTATCTTAAGTTCTTAACTTCTTGCTTGTCTCTTTTATTAGAATGAAAATCTGTTAAGAGTAAAGAGCAAATGAGGAAGAAGCAATACAGAATTAATGGGATTAAAATGAAAAGGAGCAAACATGGATGCTGTAAAGTATCATCCAACAAGAATGGGTTCTTGCCCAACTACAATAGCTATTATTTTCTAATCAATATTCAATGCCTCAACACTAGGGGAGGCTCTGTATTTATAATCTAATACAATGAATAAATTAAGTAAATATCATAAATTATGTGATTTGTCTTCCCCTGATTTTCTGCTCCAATCCCATTGACCTGCAAATTTGATGCTTGATTGATTGGTTACTTTCCATTTGCATTTGTATTTTGACCTAGTGCCTTATCATTGTCCATTTGTCCCCTTTATATAGGAGGGTTACAAAGACTAAATAAAACCTAAAAAGGAAGGTGAATCATTAAGGCTCCTTACCACAGTTATTCGATATCGATAAAGGAAATAAATCAATTTCAAATAGTAAAGATATTTTAGAATCAATCTCATGATTCTCTGAATCATAACATCACTCCCGTCTAGGACATCAAGCTTATCCTCAAGCTTGAAAACAAAGGGGGAATGGTTTATTTGAAGCCGTTGGTTCAATTGCCTCGTCTTCCCCCTTGTCAATAAAGCCAAGTATGTATAGTTGTTTGCAACAATGGCCCTTTACCCATGGGTCATCACAATTATAACATTTGCCCATTTTCTTCTATTCCATCCTTTGTTCCGGTGAGAGATGCTTAATGAGTGGGGGATTAAATATGGTTGTTGTACCACAATAGCATTACTAGATGGATACTGGCCCATTGGAGATTGTTGTTGTGATGGTGGAGCTGAATTGCCAAGCAACTGCGTTTTGCTAGTGTAGTCCCGACTCCCGAGCTACATTGATGGCCTCATCCAAAGAAGCGGGTCTACTTCCTTCAACATCTATACGAAGGATTTCATCCAAATCGGTTGTGAAGTGATTCACTTATGAATAGAGGGCATTATCGACACGGGCTAGCAGTGTTTTAGAAGTCGCTAGGCGCTAGTTGGGCACCTAGCGTCTAGGTCGTGCCTAGGCGGGCGACTAAGAAAAAACAAGTGTACAAGCCATTTTGCACCTTTTCAAGCAAGTGCTAAAAACACTCTGAAGTCTTAAAAGTTAAAACAACCAAGTGGCTGTGGAGAGGGCGAGGGAGATTTGCGATGTTGGCAGTTTTTTTTTAGCCATTTAGGGATTTAGCAATTTGGGGGATTTTGGAAATTGGTTTGTTTCACACAAAACGATGTTGTTTTGAGCGAAACAAATCAATTTAAGAAAAAAACACTTGCCAAGTTGGCCTTGAGTTGGGCGTCGAGGCCGCCTAGTCAGCAAGCCGACTAAAGGCGGCCTAAGGCTTAAATCCCCTTGGCATAGGGGCGCCTAGTCGCCTAGGCTGATTTTTACAACACTGCAGGCTAGAAGTGTTTGGGAATCATCTACGAAATCCTCTAGATCTCGGCCGCTTTGTTTGAGATTTGCAAGCTCAACAAGGGGATTGATGCTACGAGGTGGACCAAGGTGGAGAGTGCAAGCCTCTTTGAATTGCATCCACGAAAATTGGTGGCCATCTTGGAGACGCTTTTTGTACCATAGTTGAGCAACACCAAACATATAATAGGCTGCATTGGTGACTTTTTCTTGATTGAAGTGCGTGAACCTGTCAAAAAAAAGTTCACAACAATGAAGCCACATGAGAGTCCAGGCCTCCATAAGAAGCTGCAAGGGCTCTTGTGGACTTGTGGTAGTGGTTTGGTGGGTGTTTTGTGTTGCAAGGAACGTGTCCATCATCTTTGTAAGGTTCGCTACTGTTTCAAACAACACATTTACTGTTATGGGCAGGTGCTCCTGTTTTTGCATGGAGGATTGGAGATCCCTCATATCATCTTGGAGCTTTTTAAAATCACCCATGTGACCATGTCGATTCTCGGCAACAGAACCAAAATGTTATGTACTTGGGCGAACACACGTGTCACAGGGCGATTAGGGTTATTGGAGATTTGTAGGTTGTCTAAGGGTTGCCTATGTTGAGAGATGAATTAAAGGAACGAGGGCTGAAGGGCAAAACTTGACTTTAATTGGGAGAATAAGATACTTACAATGTTTTGAGAGTTTTCCCACCTCTAATTTTATATTAACTTCTTGCTTGCCTTTTATTAGAATGAAAATCCCCTCTATATAGGAGTTACAAAGACTAAATAAAACCTAAAACGGAAAGGAGAATCATTAAGGCTCCTTACCACTATTATTCAATATCTATAAAGGAAATAAATCAATTCAAATAGTAAAGATATTTTAGAATCATTTAATCAATCTCCTAATTTTCTGAATCATAACAGATTGATATACAAATATACTTAGAATTTCAGTTTGACCTGTTTTCTCCCATGAAACTTGTCTATTATTAGGTTCTGCTGGACTTTCCAAGAAATTTCATTCATATGGTCTATTGTGAGATGAGTACTTTTTAATTTGCAATTGCTTTTATTTCAGTTAACCTGATGGCCTAATGATGCAAGGCAGGTTTTTTGGTCACTGGTAAGAGGGTGAGAAGGGTGTGAAGAAGATTCGGAGTTGTCTTAATATCCTTGTGGTAAGCAATTCTTTGATCAAACATTTACTCTAGTAGATTGAATATAGCTTTCAAGAACCATAATGTTTACTTCAGCGGTGAGTTTAATCTTGTTAATGTTCTTCACTTTTACTTTGTAATTGGTTCACCATATTACTGATCTTTTGAATGCAGAAAGTGAGCTTGATTTTTGCTCACACCATGACTGAAATTCTCAGTACTGGTATAGAAGTCCACTAGTCTCCGTTTGATTTCTTGCCGTATCATTTACATAATTTTATTTCAGTCCTTTTAAGGCTTTAATCCCTATGTTCATATATTCCAGCAATGAAGACTGAGTAGAGAGGATATTAAGATCCTGATCCAGCCATCAATTATTATCTCTGATTGAGGAAACCACTACTTTGATCCACCTTGTTTCTTTAACGAACATTTTCTTTTATGGTTTGTTTTGTTTCCAACTTTCCATATAGACAAGATGGATATTCCTATGATTTAGTGATAGAATAACCCCAAATTCAACCCAGATTTGTTTATGAAGATAAAGATGCCTATGTGTTTAAACTAAAACTTGAATTATTTATATGTACAGGGTTTTAATCTTAAGCAAGAGCCATAATGTGTGTTGAACACTTGAACAGGTCCTTACTCAACCCTAGGGGAGGTGTACACAAGCGAAATATTTTTCAAGCTGTTTGCGAAAGAACTTGTTTTAAGCTTGTTTATGTTTGTCATCTGTTAAAACAATTTTGAAAATATAGCTGTTATGGCTTTTGTTTTACCTGTTTTTGTGCGATGTTTTGAAGCTACTACAGAAACCACTGAACAGATTAGTTTCAAGTAAGCTCAATTTGTTTGAAGTTGCAATATCCCCCGTAAGAGAAGGGTTCTTTAATGATTGCATGAATATTTATGGAAGTTTTTGCTTTCATTGAAGCACTTCCATGAGTATATATTTAGAGATTTGTGAGGTCATTTAACATATCATATTTGATTCTTCAAGCTTGCATATTGAACTTATAGGGAAAGGAAAATCATTGAGGTGAATTGGGATTCCATTGCACACATGTTAGTTGTTACATTATTTGTTAGCAGCGAAGTCTGTTCCCCCTTTGAAAACTACTTCCACTACAATATTGACTTAGTTTATTTAGGTCACATCTCTCTCTAAGGCCATGATTGACCTCCTTTGCAAGCATTGAGTGAATATGATTTTTGACCATTTTCTTCATTTCACCTGGTTATTTGCACATATATCTTATCCTAGAAATGATAGTTGCATGGGGTAGTTATTATGGTTATTTCCTTTCTTCATAACCTTTGAATTGATGAAATGTCTTTCATTTGGTTTATCTCCTAGAAGTTCAGACATTTTAACATTTATGTAAAAATGTAAAATTAATCTTCAAGTCATCAAATTGATCTCCTTAAAAGTTTAGAAACAAACCTTCAAAGCTTCCTTGGAGGTGGCTGTATCTACCTTTCTACCACATGCTTTCATCCAAAAATATTTATGGATTAAGGTGAGGGCCTGCTAGTCCTTTTGCACACATTAACATTGGAATAGTGGTACACCGTTGAATGGCATGCGTTGACTTTCAAAAGTTTATTGCTCAGATATGACTTTATATTCTTGTGAGTTGATTTCAGGAATAGTACAATGACTATTGGCATATATCAATATCGACTTTTAATTGGATCATAAATGATCCTTTGACTTTTGATCTTTATTATTGACTTCTAATCTGACTATTAATTTTGTTCAAAATTTGATCATCGAATTACTTTTAATTTTATTGTAAATGGTATTAACTATTAACTTTGTTCAAAATTTGATCATAAAATTAAATCAATTTAGTAAAAATTAAATTTAAATTTAAAGATTAATTAGTTAATCTATAGACCACTCCATATTTTAGAGTTTCTTATAAAATGTGCAAACAATATTTTAGTGTTATTCCCAAATCGAGTAAAATATCATTCCTTCTGAAATATTAAATACATGCTAGAGCAAATTCTTTTAAAATGAAATTTAAAAATTATATATAATTGTTAAAACACTTAAAATTTTAACAACACAAAATTGGCAGTTAATGGTCTGGCCGAATTTTGAGGGCCCCTGCTGAACCATAAGATACAAAAAAATGCTTGGAAGTAAAAAAAAAAAAAAAAAAAAAAAAAAAAAAAAAAAAAAAAAAAACAATCAAAGAACCACTCCTACCCCCTCTGCTTTTATTTTTATATATTTATATTTTTATATCTATTGCTGTTCAAGACAAGAAAATAAAATAAAATATTTCGTAATTTAAAAAGAGTGACAGTAAAGTGTAGTATTACTCGAAAAAGATAGGAAGGTTGGTTGTCTTGAAATAAAAGAGAAGGGAGTTGAGTAAAGGTGTAAAGCGTGGTTGGGATCAAAACTTACTAAACATTTAAAGTAACTGAAGGCACACAAGGAGGATATGATTTTTCAACGCTATTGAAACATCAAATATGGAAGCAGGCATGACTCCCAAACAAATTGACCAGACAACTCCAAACAGATTTAATTGATTGATTTCTCCAACTTGTGAAAGGAACAAAAATTAAATAATAATCATAATCATAATAACCATCATAAATGCCCTTGGTGATTTCCTGAGGAGTTTTTCAAGGCATTTGGTGCTATACTGCTGTGGCCAGCCTCGTTTTCATGATTAAGCCGAGGAAACAACAACACCGGGGCAAAGCTGAGTTCTTCTCTTAAAATGCGGTATCAATCACTATTTTATCTTCTTTTCCCTGCAGATGCTTTTTTCCCATCCCGCATATCAGTTGCAGTATGCTTCTTCCGCCTTCCACCACCAGCTGTGGCAGGCTCTACTAGAGGACCTGACCAATTCTGGACGGGTTCCTTTGAATATGTGAACGAGGTGGAACTGAAAGGCACATCTGGAGGGACAAGGGAAGGATCGATGTGATGTGAAGCTCCCAAAGGAACACCAAGTCCTCCATCCTGATGGGGTGGCGGGAACTTCTCACTCTTGCTCTTTGCGTTTGCATGGGTGATGAGGCGTCGCCGCTGCAAACAACAGTAATTTATAAACACAATTCAGGCAGTATACACAAGAGTGACAATGTGAGAGTGAGGGAGAGAAAAGGGGGTGGGGGTAGGGGTGGTTCTTTCTACAAGAAAACAATTTGTATTACTTTATTGTGGTCCAATTTGGAGTGAATGAAAAAACTAAAGCCATTCAGTTCCATTTCCAATCATCTTTTGCACTTTTTTACCAAATTGGTAAAATACTCTCTCATCATTCTCTACTACCAACTCAACAGTTTCAATTTCATTATAAACAAATATTAATGTCTCCTTCCACCTGAAATATATGCACAAGTATTTCTCTAAATAAAAAAAAAAAAAAAAAAGTGTCACAATGATCACAAATACGTCCATAAGCACTCAATCAGACAACCACTAACCAATTATAATGGTGGAGAAAAGTAATCATCAAGGTGTTTAACAAGAATATAAGGTTTCCAAATGTATCCCACATATCATTTGCTTGAGAGGATAGAATTATGGACACCTACCAATTTTATGACAAAAATCAGAAAACTTCACCCCTTAATTTAAAGCATTTTCCATCCTCACCTATCCTTCTATCCCATAATTAAACTCCTTTTTCTTTTCTTTTTCAAATGTATTCTACATAATTGTACTCCATTATTCCTTTAACCCTTAACTTAGAGCATTTTCCATCTCACCTATCTTCTGATCCCATAATTGTACTCCATTATTCCTTTAACCATGTTGTAGTTAGTTCTGAAAATACCATTAAGCTTCCAATATTATGCTAAGGTGATGTCTGCCAAAAATTTAGCCCCTTTCTTGCCTCAAACACCGAATAAAAGTAGTGCTCTGTCATAAATTTCATGTGCTTCACAGTTGAATTTATCAGAAGGCTACTCTTAGTGAGTAATTACTGTTTTTCCTTGAGAAAACTTTCCTTTAATTCATATATTTGTACTCTTGAAATGAAATTTAACATTTATTGTTACTTTCTCCATTTTATTTGAGGTGGACTTTGACTTGGAAGAGTGTCACAGTGACATACATTTTAAAATTTTAATTTTAACTCTCAACAAGACTACACTGGTGGAGTTGCAACATGGTTATAATCCAAAAGGAGTAACAAATTATGTATATCAAATTAATAAAGAAATTAGAATACGTATAACTAATTATCCATCAATAGAATGGATAACAAAGGTAAATAAACATACAGAGTGACATGTATATAATGCAAAACCTGTGAAAGTAGAATATGTATATCCAATTATCCATCAAATGTAGAGAATTCTTGAAAATAGAAGAAAGACATACATCAATATTAGCTTGAAGTTCAGCATTGGCATCTGGTGCAGGAATTGCACGAACAGCACGGTCGCGGTGACGTGTTCTTTTAGTACCATCACCCTGGGCTTTATTAGCTGCCCTTAGCCTACACAAGCAGAAAATGCAAACATGACAATATCTGTAATTCATTACCAGTACATATGCACCTTAGAAAGAAAAGAGGCACTAAAATGGATACATGGTGCTATTTTTTATGAACAACAAAAAACATTCAGATCTTACAAACTTTAACCAATTTGAAAAGTTCGACAGGCGCTAGTGTTCATTGATTTAGCTAGGGATCAGTGGTTTTAATATAAAATCAATTCTGCAACTTTAGTAGAAACCTTAATGTCTACTGTCACATTAGCTCAAAATTTTATTGCAGAATGGCAGAAATATATACTCCTCACCTCCGAGCCTCATCATCACGCCGTTTTGCATCCATCTCTTTGGTTGGAGGGTATTTTGGTAGACTAGACGGATCGCAAGCATAAGGTTCTGTTGTAAAGAACTGCACAACATAGGAATTCAGTAATCTGTAGAACCTGAACAACTTTTAAGAAATACAAGGGAACTGCAACTTGAATAGGGGATTTGCAGTCTGACTTAAAAGTGATATATCTTCTAGAGTTCATAATGGTAAAAGCATGACTAGCAAATAAAATAGTGGAATCAGAAGTTATAATATACTAATGATAACAGCGAGAAATTTTTGACATTACTTAGCCATTATCACTAATTCAGAAAGCAGACTGTTAGTCCTAGAATTCATCATGTTGGAAAATAGAGAGTGTGTTCATTTGAATACTTTCATGAATCATGTATGAAAAATCTTGATTTCCATAGTTCTATACTTCTATTTGAGCATAGATGCATACCATATGTTTAACAACATTTTGTCGAAAGACTAGAATGAGAAAACATACACCCATGGAAATTTGGACTCAAACACACAGTGACAAGTACATAAATCTGTGATCAGCAATTGTATGCTGGTTAAAGCAGGTGGCAGGGAGCCACCCCCTCCACCCTCTCCCTTCCCCTTGTGGTATAAAGAAGACCAAATGGAAATTTGCAGGAAAGGTCTAAAAACTTTAGAATTTATGTAAAACTAGAAGTTAAAAAATGTCTCTAACTTGAGAGTGGCTAATGTTGGTTAGGAGGAGATAGGTTGGAGATTCATGTGCAGATTGACAGGGAGGGAAAGCATTACAGAGGGCAGGGTAATGCAGCAAATAGTAACTTTATAATGTAAAAGGACTTACCTCACTTCGTAACGCATCGGTTGCAGTCCTGCGTTCTGCTGGGTCAATTGCAAGCAGTGTATCGATCAGTGGCAGTGATGATGGTGGAAAATCTTTAAATGTCTCTCTAATGCATCGCTTGTATGGCTCTCGTGGCTTGAATAATGTTGCATTTGGTAACTTAGACTTTTTCCAATATTCATCAGATGGTGAACCACATAATTTATATATCTTGTGTAGTTGCTCCACCTTAATGATGGAAAATATCAAAGTCAGTAACCTCAAATAGAAGACTGCAACATGCTTTGTACCTATGCAGATTTATTTA